AGAGAGGGAGAGAAAGATGATATATATGGTAATATGATATGATATGATATACACGTATATATACATACATATACATATATATATATACATATATATATATGGAGGCGGTGGCTTTCGTTCTCCTTGGGAAGCTTTATCCTGCTTAGCATTGACCTTGAAATTGTGTCGCCCTATTGTTCCCTCCGCTGACTGCACAACCTCCGTTGCCGGGGTTTACCTAGCGAAGCGAAGGACCGCCAACCACCCGTGTCCAGTGTGCGGAAAACACTACGTCAACGAGGGTAGTCTTAGGAAGCACCTGGCCTGTCATCCTGAGACCAGTCAGCTTAGCACAAGCCTCAGGATGTGGCCGTGCTCGGTGTGCCAAGCCGTCTTCACTCATGAGAGCGGTAAGTATATCCCTTTCTTCTTGATGCAAACAAACCGATATTAAGATATATACATATATATGTATATATATATTATACAATACAGTACGATATACTTTATCATTATCAATGTTCTTATTACTAATTTCATTTCTTCTTCTTCTTCTTTTTCTTCTTCTTCTTCTTCTTCTTATTCCTCTTCTTCTTCTACCTTTTCTAATTACTTTGCTATGTCTTCTTTTCGCAAGACGATCGTTTCTCTATGTTTCCTTTTACGAGTTAAATGTTTAATCGTGTTTATCGTAAGATACGTGACTGACCATAACGAACTCTATCGAGATCGCTCTGCTTTGCTGTTAAGGTTTGTTGAGTCACATGGAGCACATGAGAATGGACCCGAAACATCAGTTTGCCGCGCAGTACGTTTTAAGCCGCGCGGCCGCCGACAGGCGGGAGAGAGAGATCCTCGCGTCTTCGAGTTTAGGTAACGAATACAACACTGTCCGTCAAAAACCTATATACAACACCGCCTACGTATATGTATATATGATGTAACTATATGTAAAAGTGCGTGTATCGTATCATAGTGACCCGTAGCTCGTATTTTCATGATATAAGGCGATCGAACACGTTCACGTATGCGAACGATACGTAACAGGGTTCTGGTGTCCGGCAGGTGCGGGATTGGGTGTGTTGGGAAGCCAAACAGGCGGACCTCAAAATTTGCAACAACCGCCGATGTGTCCGTCGCCGTCGGCTCACTCGGACAGCAGCAGTGGAAACGGAAGACTATCGTCGGCCGGTAGTGAACCTGGTACGCTCCGATCTTGTTCATCCGTCTTCTTGCAAACGGTCGTCTGTGGAATGATCGTTAGAGTGTCCGTGAATATAACGAATCTTAGAGTAACGCCTATCCTTAATATACCGACACCCATCGCCTTAAGAGAGCGTACGATCTCCATTCTCACACGTTTTACACGGACAAACGAATGCCATCGACGCTTCAACACTACGTACACGAATACGCAACACGTAGAGACACAGACCGACACGTACACGCACACGTTCGTTGTAATGTATGAAAAAAAATGTGCCGTGTTCCGCACACCAACACACCCCCCCGAGAGCTTCGTTACCAGCAACGACAGTGATTGTAGCAAACGTATTATTACACATTGATATTATCTCTGGAGAGTAAAAAATAAAGCATCTACGAATTCTTGTGTGAGTAATTTCCGTATCACGACGAACGTTTCATTATCATTCTTTTTTTGTTCATTGAAACGAAGACTCCACGTCTCTCTCCTTTTTCTACCGATACTGCTAGAGACGATGACCATCGTAATGCTGTTCTTAGTACGTAGTTAGAGCGCCACTAAAAGATAAAAGAAAAGTAAATAAAAACACTCGACTTTCCAACGACTAGCCCATACTAACGGGAGCAGACTTTTGCGCAGGTACCGGTCTGCTCAACAACAACAACAACAATAATAACAACAATATGGCGTCGCCGGGGCCGAGCGGCAACAAGCTGAGCGAGATGCTTCGGGCGGGTAGTCAACCGGGCACGGCGCAACAGTACCACGACGAGATGCAGACGCAGCAGCAACGCATGGCAGTGATGGCCGCCGCGGTGTCAGCGGGTAAGAATCATCGTCGACGTCGTGGCGACCGTCGTTGTCTTCGATCTAGCATTCTTAAGGATCGATCTTGCCACGGGATAAATCGCGTTTCGCCCATTCAAGGACGTCGATATGGCTTATCGAGTCGCGCGACGCTCACTCGCTGGCTCGGTCGAGGGATCCGCAGATACGAACTCGCGCAAGTGCGCCCGCGCGCGGACTCGTTCCAATTATTGCAAGATAAACGTTTGATTTACAATTATGTTGTTTTTCCGTGGCAAGGATTTTTCTTATCTGCCCGGCCGGCCCGCTTAGATCGCAAATAAATCGTGTCTGCTAGTTCGGCGACGCTGGGACAGATAAATGCCAGACACGGCTTCGCTCTTGATAAATTGATCGCGGGAAATAATAAAACGGCGAGATGCTTCTTGAATCGGTGGCGCGACTATCTTGTCGCGCTAGATGAGATGGTAATTAAGATAGCGTTGCCACAGACAGGTCTGCGAAAGAGGGAGAACGAAAGCGGAAGAATATCTGTTGCTCTTTCGCGGAGAGATTGCTCTTTCGTGGAAAATGAGTCGCACTTTCGCGGGGATGATGCATTCTTGTCGCGAAGAAAAGTAGCTTTTCTATGGAAAAAGATAGTCGCGCGAAAGAAAGGAATCTTACTTATTAAAGAAAAGGTAGCTCCTTGGTTAAAACAGCTTTGTCGCCTATAAAAGATTGCACTTTGGCGAGAGATAGAATTTCTGGAATTTGTGAAACAATCAAAACCAAATGTTCTTTGGGTTATTAGGTTTGCAAAACTCGGTATCGCCGAATCTGTCGCCGGTGGACATGGCGTCCCTAGCGGCGGCGATGAGGATGGGCAACAACGGTGACATGAGCGGTGGCGCGCAAGGATCGACGGGACCGCAACAGCAGGGAGTCCAAGCGACCGGACCAGAGCAGACTTTGAGGATGCACCAGGCGGAAGCCTTGTTGCGTTCTCAGGCAGAAGCCGCGCTAAGACTGGCTGTAAGTGTTCGAACCGTTGCAGTAAAAATCTAGATTATTCCATGACCTTTTCTTCGAAACGTGAAACTGAAGAGGTTGGAGCATAATTTCACGTACTGATTCAGGTATCGCAGGCGGCAGCAGCGGCGGCGAGTTCTGCGGCGGTTGGCGGAGACGTGAGACATCACTTGGGACAGCATAACGGAGGTAGCACTTCCGGCATGCCTGGACATCACACGAACCAACAGATGTCTCAACAAGACACCTTACCATCGGACCTTGGTAAGCCTGTGTTCCGGATACTGGTCGCGACAAGCTAGTTCGCGATGGAACATCTACTACTTTGTCTTCTGGACGCTTGTTAAGGCTGGACCTGTTTCTAGTCCAGTTCTCGACTGCTGATAAATCTAGTCTTGCCAGACCTCCAGATCATATACTATTCCAGACAAGTAGTCTTAAATTTAATGCGATTCTTTCTCGATACTGTCATGTTTTCGTTTCTTTATTGTTTCCATAATTGCTTAGTCCCTCCTAATTCAATCGTGTTCTCCCTTCTTCAAAGATGCTTTCGTACTTCTTCTTTCTGAACGTACTCCCAATGTACACGTTAATCGTAACGAGTAGACGAGTTAATTTCCGAACAAAATTGAGTATAGACTATCGCTAGAGGTCACCATCCTCATCCCCCAAATCCCTCTGAACTCTAACGCTTTCCCAAAGCTGCAACGCTAATAGTTGTCGAAATTTCCCAGGGGAAGCGTTGCGACTACAAGAGCAGCGACTAGAGCAGGCGCTGAGGCTTCACGGCGATCCTCGTGCGCTGAGTTTCACCTTACAGCACGTGGTCAACCAGCAGAACAATCAGCAACCCTGAAAATTCAGTTACTACTGAGACGAGTGGACCCCTTGGACGTCCGAGCAGGCGAGCTTGCAGCAACAAGCTGAGCGGCTGAACCAGCAGTCCCTGCAGACCGGCGAGCGGCCAGCGTCGCTCGGCGAGCAGCAGCAAGCTTCGTCCAGCATTGGTCTTCATCACCATCAACAACAGCAGCAGCAGCAGCAGCAGCAGCAGCAGCAACAGCAACAGCAGCAGCAACAGCAGCAGCAACAGCAACAGCAGCAGCAGCAGCAGCCGCAGCAGCATACCGAAGACCGCGGCGTCAAGAGGAAAGCCGACGACATGATCGGTAACTCTGACAACGTCTAAACCGTGCGACGTACACGGACGATAAACCATACGACATCGTTTATCGTCCTGTACGGCGACCGAACCATTAGGCGTCCAAGTGTGGTCACCTGCGCAATCACTAATGTCTCAGCAGTACAAGTTAGAAATTGTTCTGAATCGGCGAGGTCCCGGCGGCTGGCACAGTCGCCGAGGTCTCCCGGCCCTTATCAACTTTCAGCCACGTTCGATCGGATCGTCGTGGCCGATCCAACCTGATCACATCCCCCGCGTGGGGCAGCAGAAAAAACAGACTTCATACGTATCTAGAAATCCGTTAGACGGTGCGTGACGAGGGGCTCCGCGGTGACGATGGTCTTCTATCTTAGCTGGCCGCCATATCGCGGCCGCTGATCACGTTGTTCCTACCTGGCTCTCCAGAGTTCCTAGAACGACACGCGGTGCGCGCGGATCGGCGTGATCCCGTCGGCCGCCAACGTAACGGCCGACGGGCGTCGCCTATCCGCGCGCGGCTTCCTTTTTCTCGCTTTGTCGGGTCGCTCTTTCCGAATTCTCAGGACACGTTGTCACCGTCGCGGCCCCGCCTTCAGTCACCCCCGAAACGTGCCATAATATTAACGAAACAAAGCTACAAACGGGAAAAAAACTGCTTAACTGATGCGCGGCTGGTGGTGTGTTCCTGGACCGAAGACGGAGAGAGGGTTAGAAAGGAGACAGGGACCATATATCCAGGCTGACGCAAGGTACTATGGTTTTTTTAGTACAAGAGCCAAACCGGCGGACCGTGTCGCGATGGTCGTACCTCACGGGCGATTTGGGCCCGCGGCGCGAGACCCGACGGTCCGTCCTAGGCTCAACCGACTAACCTATTATACATAATATACATACCTAACGAAGCAAGAATGAAATCAACCAGTTTAAGGTTCCCCTTAATCTTAGCTCCCGTAACGTTTAAGGCAAGACACACACGGAAAACACACACAGAGACGCAAGTCCGAAGCGTGCGTGTACGCGGTCCAGGTGGACAATTCGGAAGTTCGAGAGCGAATCGCGCGCGAGTGAAATCCCCCTTCCGAGTTTTATCGGACGAACGCGACGCCGGATCGGAGGGATACGAACGAACGGTCTGATGTAATAAAACGGGGCGAGTCGCGGGCGGCGAGGCACCGCCCGGGCGCCGGTCCCCGGATTAGTGATACGTTGTACACATGTTGGAGGGAGGAAATGAAGAGACACGAAGAGATTTCACTGGAGAAGTGAAAGAATAAAGCATATACGTATTTACGGTATAAATGAAAACGAAACGCGACGTATATATACATACACACGCGTATATGTATATATGTCGATGTATATGTATACATACAAGTGCACATAAAATCACACGAACACACCATCATACGATAATACACACATGTGACACACGCATACACACACATATACATACAGAAAACTGCGAAACTTACTCGAGACGTAAGGATTAATAGAAATGCGCGCAACTTGTGCTGGTCGTCAGCACGGAAACTATTAGCTCGTAAGCGGACAAACAAAATATAATTATTACAAACAGTTATATTATATATATTATATATACATACAGAGAGTCTGGAGTGTATGATGAAGAGACAAAACGAAGAAAAAATTTAGGAGGGGGGCGGGGAGGTCGGCGTGGAATAAGGAAAAAACGGCCTGACCGCTAACCCCCTCCCCTTGTACACGTGCACAGTTTTCGAAAACGAGGGAACGCAGCAGTCGTGAGAATGTTACGCGCGAGAGGAGCCGAGTGAACGCGACGGAACGAGAGAACGTGAGAGAATGAGAGTCGGAAGGAAGCATTTTTCGTGAATAGAAACAAAAAACAATAACACGCCGCGCTCGCCCCGCGATAACGCGGGGCGGCGTGCGCGGTGAACATGCGAAAAAATGGAACAAAAAGGAAGAGAGAGAGAACTCACGCTGGGAAGAATCGATGGAGAAAGCTGATGATGCACAGAGAGAAAGAGAGTAAATAAAAAAACTAAATGCTAAATATTATATATATTATATATATATAAATATTATAAATAATAAATATAGGGTCTATGAGACTAGGATATAAATTAGGCGAAAAAGAGGATATTCGAGTGAGTGTGGTGCCGCGTGCCCATGCAGTCGTACACGATTCCAAGCAGTCATTGGTCGAAGATAATAATCGAGCATCACGAGAAGAGAGAGAGGGAGAGAGAGAGAGGTGTTGTCCTGGTAGAGAGAATGGAAGAGAGAAAGCGAAGACCGGGAGAAAGAGGATCGAGCGAAAGGGAAGGAAAAGGACACGCCCCGGAGACGAAGAATGAAGGAAAACGAGGGGAAATTCGTGAACGATCGCGGGCTTGGAAGTCGTATAGGTGCACGGGCACGCGATAGAGCAAATGTGTGATCCGCGCGAAAGGGAATGCTTCGTGAGCATCAAGGATGGAGCGAATGCGCGAAAATGTGAGCCCAATGAGCGCGTGAATGAGAGAGATTTTAGAGAGTGGCGTGCTTCAGGTAATCTGAGGTCCTGTGATCGTTATAAGCAAAATATTTTTTTATTTCCGGGTATAATAATCTGAACGCGTAAAAATACTTGCGTCGTTTCGAACTTTTACTTGCAATATACCGTTACGTTCTCGCAATACTTAGAAAGAAGAAGAAGAAGCAGAATAAGATGAAGAAAGAAGAAGAAGGAGAAACAGAACAGAGGTGGATCGATTAAAACGGAGCAAAACGAAAAATAAGTATAGTTTCAAAGCAAAAGTAAACGGAAACAAAATATCATGGCGGAAACAAAAAGTCAATCGAAGCGAAGAATAGAGGAACTCCAAAAAAAACCAAAACAAATGAAACGGAAAAATGGTAATCGCGAACTCAAAAATAAGCAAAGAGCTACGAAGATGAGGATGACGAGGGAGAGGAAAAGAAGAAGAAACTGAATTCAAAAAATGTGTACGTAGGTTTTTTGATCGTTGAGCGAACTTTAGAGACTCGGGCCAGACTCCTAATCAAACCCCCACGCGAAAAAAAGAGCAAACGAAACGCATGGAACCTCTTTGTAATGCCCCATCAATCTCGACCCCGATACGCTCCCCCTTTTTCCCCGACCTTTTTGTACAACTCTTAGACAGTCCGTACTTTCGATGGGGTTTCTTTCGACGAGACCAGACGAGCCGAAACAAAAACCTTTTTTTCACCGTGCACATTCGCGCGCGAGTATGATAGGGAAAAAATAAACGTAACGGAAAACGAGACGCGTTTATCTCTCTTGGAACTCGATCTTGGCCGAAAAAGAACAAAGACGGTTATTCTAAAAGGAACAAAAACGTTCTGTACAAAAGAGAAAAGAACAGTGAAGTTAGAAACGGTCCAAACGAAAAAATTCAACTGGTCTATAAAAATTGTATTTTCGAAATGCAAAAAAAAACAGGGAATTCACCTACAATAACGTTCGATTTCTTCGTTTCTTCGACTGGCAATCGCGGACTGAAGAGTGCGGAAAACAAAAATGGTAGCGTGCCGAATTTTTTCTTCCTCCGGACGTATCGACGGCGTTGTTGTTGTTGTTGTCCCCCCTTCGGAGATTCTCGACGAGACTTTTCATTCCGCAAATGGCTCGCGCAAATTTCTGTGTCCCCCATTTTCGAACTTTCGAATCGAACACCATTTGCAACCGTTTTTCCGGATTTTCCGTCCCGAGACCGAATCTTCGCGAAATTTCGATCCTCGACACGCGTATTCTATTCACTTCTGGCAAAGAGACAAAATTGCAAATCGAGAATCACCGCGGCAAAAGGTAAAACGAAATACAAGAGATTGTTTCTACTTTGTCGGGAGGTCGCGAAACGAGAAAGAAAGAAAAAAACTCCGCGGACACAACAGTCGTCGCACCCCGACATCTCCGTTCCTCTTCAGGGGATCCATCCCTCCTTTTACCCCCTTTGTTCGCCACTTACGAAAAGTAGCCTAACGTCGTCATCTTCGTTGAACGTAAAAAAAAGGGATTTAAAAAAGAAAAAACGTGATAAAGATGAAAAGGAAAAATAAAAGACACGCGCTGAGAAGCCGCCGGTAAGCCAGGCTTTTTCACCATCTGGAACGAGAGAAGAAAAGATTGCTAAAGGATTCATCGTCAAAGCTACATTTAACGGTTGCACCCGCCTGCCGGCGGCCGGGGCTCAACGACCGACGCCATTCCGAGTCGAACTCTTTTTGGAATGACTCTTGGAGCACCCGTCGCGTCCGAACAAATTCACCTACCGTAAAAAGAGGAATTTTAGCGTCCAAATCTATTTTTCACACAGGAATGACACGATGGTGAAGACTAAAAATATATAGAAGACAAGGAAATTGTGCACCTTCGGGGTTCGGAAAAGGGACGAGGAATGGTGGTCGATTGGTGGCGAGGTCCGGTTGCACGGCCCACGCGGGTCGATCATTGATCGTTCTTATTATAACAAGTTTTTGCGTTACAGGGCGTTTTTTCCTCGGATTAAGTAGTATGTAAATACACCTTGATATCACAAGCATAAACTGAGAATTTACTGGTAAACTTAAATCGAGTACATAATACGAAATAGGGTTAGTTTCTATGTAAATACCTAAAGCTGGACGAGTGCATACACCTCGTTCACGCAACCAACGATAATCGTTTTTATCGAACCAGTGCTTCTGTTCGTCGTCGGTGTACGCCTGGTCGTTGGCGGTCGTCCTTATGCAACGCGACTGCATCTTTCGATTTCGCGATACTTTCTCCGTGGAAAAGGGGAAGAATCAACATCGTCGCGAATCGAGGGTGCCCGGGCGCAGGCATAAGAGCGTTCCCCAAAAAATGGGCGTCGCTGATCGGGAAGTTTTTTTTTCTCGACACTGATACACTACACAGTTACACAAGAGACACGCTCACGTACACACAAGCATTGCGATGGATTGTACAGCTACGATAGGATAGAT